TCAAACATAAAAGGAAATAGAGCAGCGCTTCATGAAGACCAAATGAGTGAATACATTCAAAATTTAAATGAAACATTAAGTACCGTTGAACCACAAGCTATATTCAATTACGATGAGATGACCCTTACCGATGACCCCAGACAAAAGAAAGTTATAACCAAACGTGGTGTGAAATACCCAGAGCGAATATGTAATTCCTCAAAAAACAGCATCTCCCTAATGATAGCAGGGAACGCAGCCAGGGAGCTTCTTTCCCCATATGTGGTGTATAAGTACAAGCACTTTTGGGACAGATGGATTGAAAATGGTCCACCAGGGGCGCGCTATGAAAATACTTTATCTGGATGGTTCGAATCCCAAACTTATGCAGATTGGTTCAACACTATTATGCTGCCAAGGATGAAAAAAATTGAAGGCAAAAAGGTGCTCATAGGGGGCAATTTATCCTCACACATAAATGTTAATGCCTTAAACTCTTGTAGAAAAAATGACATTCATTTCATGTGTTTGCCACCCAATAGTACGCACGTAATTTAACCCCTAGATGTGGCTTTATTTGCACCATTAAAGAGAGCGTGGCGAGAAATTTTATTAGGGTATAAGGAAGTAGATCAAATGTCCTCGAGAAGCACCATTTCCCATCCTTATTGCACTCTTTGATGATGAAAATAAGAGAAAACTCCTGTGAAGTTTAAAAGGTGGGGTTTAAAAAATGCAGCATCGTGCCTTGCGCTATTGGAACGATTAATTTCGACTTACCACACCAGTATAAAATATGAACCAGTGACGTGGTAAATGATGATTCTAATACCCCACTATTGCCTAACATTGAACATTCTTTTATTAAATACTTAGAGAATAAAAGACAGAAAGCCACACAGTTTACCACTCGTGGAAAGAAAAAAAAGTTAACTGTTCCCCCGGGCAAAGCACTGCTAATGCTTAAATACAGCTTATTGATATAAATCAACCAACATGCTCTACTGCAACAAATAAAAAGGAAGATTCATCAGATGATGAAATTGATGAAGTAAGGGAATTTGAAGTCGAGACTGAGTTTAATCAAAAACTTGCATCGGGTACTTTGGTATTAACAAATGTTGCAAAGAATAAACAAAGCAGATTAAAAGATATTACAAAAACTATTGGTCAACATGTTTTATTAATTTACGAAAAAAATGTATGTAACAGCTTTAGATAAGTACGGAGCTATGATTAATGCTATGGTGAAGTCGTTAAAATACTGGAAATGGCCCGAAAAAAGACAAAATATGGTACACCTGGGACAAAATATTCGGCGCAATAAATTCACCCAAGAAAATGTCGAAGCGTGGCTAATATTCTGTCCCAGAATGTGATAAGTTATGGTGGAAGTGATGTTTACTTGATAACCCAGATAAATTTCATAAAAACACATTATTTTAATATTACATAAATTATACAAAAATATAATTTTAATTTTAATATTTTTATTTTCATACGTGTTAATCTATATATTTTTGTACATCATTGTCCTCTGGCTGATCGCGTCTCTGTGTCATAGTATACCTAAGTATACTGTGTCTCTGGCGCATTATGATGAGTGAGCCTAATACGAGTGAGACGATATGCCGAATGCATATAGCTAAAAAAAGGAGACAACACGCCAACAGATCCTTCAAACTATCAAAGAACACATTAATTGGCGCGCCGCTCACAAACAAGGTTGCCAAACCAGTGTTGCCACTATAGTACAATTCACAAATAGCTACGTTCGTTTGATTTGTCTACAGGCACATCATAATTTTGTAAATAACCATAGGAATAGAGTAAGGATTATATTTTAATATTTTATCATTCCATTTCTTTTATTTTGCATAATAACTTTTTTTCTTTAATTATATTTGACCATAAATATGAGACACAAGAAACTGGCTGAACACTAGTTATTTTTGGTCCCTATAGGTTGGCAACATTTTTCGTTAGATATTTGTCAATTCTATGATCGAACTGTCACTTAAAAAAATAATAACTTGTTTTTTCGGCCCTTTCTGATTTGATTTTTGGAAGAAGATGGCCGATGGGATTTAGCTCAGCATTGTGTTAAATAGTGTTGAGTAATAATTAGTTTCCGAGCTTTTTGTTTTGTCCAAGGGCCCCCGTGCCAATGTTTATGTTACTTTTATTTGGGATGAACCTGGTTTTTGACCAAAATCTGAGGCAAGTGAGACGCCGAGAGATACGTTCTTCCACGTGTTGCTGGATCCCGGTAGCACAGAAAACCCTCAAAAGAGCTAAGTCATTTTCTTTGCTCTTCCTGCATTTTCTTTGTATGGCAAAACACTCATATTTTAATATATATATATATATATAGGGTTCTTCCCGTAGATGAACAAGAGACCCACATCAACCGTGGGTGGTTATTCTCAGAAAGCTACAGAATGGAATTCTGTCTTGCCAATAAGCTGGTCCGTTTTGTTTACCCTGCGAAGCAGAGATTTCCTTTTTATTTCAAACGTTATTACGATGGTCTCGTACCCCAAGCAGTCCTGTAACATGATGAGCTTCAGTGTGCAGTGTGTAACCTAACAGATGGCTCTTTCTTGTGCCGCTGTCAGACCTAGGATTATATTTTGGTATTTTTTATTTTTTCTTTAATATTAACAATATGTTCGCAATGTCTATTTAGACATTTATACTTATATTTTGAAACGGGTGTTTCTTTATTTTCTGTATGATTAAATTTTAAGAATACTTTTTGTTTCTTTTATTTACAACTAGTTTGTAAATTAAGAAAATACTTCCAATTTTATTACTTTTAGAGTTTGATACATCAAATGAATTGGGTAAATATTGTTAATATATCATTATTTCTCTTTTGAGCCAAGAACGTTTGTATAATTTAATGTTCATCGAACAAATTGAGAAAATATTGTTAATTTATCAGTTTCATTTATTTTTCTATTAAATACAATTTAAATTATGTATGACTTATTTCACAGAATATCATGAACATCTCTACAAGTGTCTATTTGCAGATTCATGTATTTATGGTTTAATTATTTAAATTTTATTTACTATGGTTTCTGAATTTACCTTTAGATTATAAAAACTTCTTAATCAAATAATACCAAATTTTTTAATCTATTAAAAATTCAGTGGCGTCCATCTATGGTTTAAATACTCTTTTTTGTATTTTATTTAAGTGTATCTAAAGTCAATTTAAAATAATTAAATTTCAAGACAACAAATCCTTACTTACACCTTTATGCCACCGACGGTAGAGCTGCTGTTCTGTATATAATCTAAACTCTTTGTCAAAAGAAAAAAGTAGGTTACAAAGTTGAATATTATTGTTGAACTTTTTAAATTGTTTATTTTACCTCATACATTTTTTTTCATACAGAATTATGTGAAGAGTATTATAGGTTTACTTTGTTTGTCTGCACGATAAGTCAAATACGAGAAATTATATGAACTTGAAAATTTTAGGCAAAAATAAAGCTCTATAAGGGGACAAAGCCTATTGATTTTTAACAAATCTGATTTAAAATAGGGGGTTAAGATGGGTAAAAATTAAAAAAAAAATCCTAAATTAAAAACGAAAAGCAATATCAATATAAAATTTTTGGTAAAAATGAAGCTTTATAAGAAGATAAAGCCTATTGATACTGAAAAAAATATGATATATTGGGAAATGAAGGGGGGTTAAAATATAAAAAAAATCCTAACTTAAAAACCTGAAATTTTTAGCAAACATCAATCTCTAAAGGGAGAAGAAGCCCTTTCATTAAAAAAAAAATCTGATTAAATATGGAGGTTAAGGGGGTCTGTTAAACTGCGAAGAGTATCATTTAAAATGCCCAGGCATTATATATCTTTATTCTAGTTTGTGTCTGTGTAATATTATGTATTGTGATGGGACTGATCCTATAAAATAAACATTTAAAATATTTTAGTTCTTATTTTATTTGCCAATAAAAGGTATTTAAAAAATAAATTTTTTATTTGACATCTGTGAAAAATTGTGAAAATGATTAAACTTACAATAAAAACTAAAAAATGGTAGATACATTTTTTACACAAAAATCAATGTCAAGCTTTCTACATAACCTGATATATATTTAAAAATAATCTGAAATTATGAAGAAAAGTCAGTTTATTAACTAATAATGTTTATAGATGGTTTTCAACGTATTAAAAACCAAACAAATATCACACTAACCAAAATATTCATTTATTAATAGTTGTAGTGCTCGAAAACAGTATGATGTTGATAATAATAACTACACTTAATACAAACTCAAATAATAAAAGAAACAGCGATATTGACTCTTGTACAAAGTATTGATCCGAACTTACATAGGATAAAATTATTTGAAAAAGTGAATACTCATTTTAAATTACGACAAGCCGCCACTGCTTGATAAGTTTCAATTTTGTACAATGTCAGAACTAAACTTAAGTTAATTTTGTATTATTTTAACCCTTTTTTGTAAGCAATAAAGAAAAAAACATTAAAAAAATGCCTATTAAATATTGGAATGTAATTTAAAAAATATAGTTGTAGATGTACTGTACATTTACGGTGGCGCAAAGTTAGTGTTTACGCAGTATTTCATAGCACCAATAGGGGATTACTGCGTGAAAATAATGTAAATGCTAAATAGTGCAAAGTATGACCATTCTAAGGTATACGTTGCACCACCATTTAAATTAGTTTTTTTGCTCATGTCATAAGCTGTACAATGTCTACCAATTATCAAATAATAACTAAATTACTTTTAAGTAATTTTTAGGCATTATTAAAAAATTTACGTCAAAAAGTGGTGCAAAATAACCCCACTTTACGGAATTGGTTTTTTTCATAACAATTACCAATAAATTTATAAATTCTACGTATATACTGAATTTGTTTTTTTTATTTACCAATGAATGTTTACTATTTGCTGTGGGTTCAAACTTTATCTATATTATTTAAACTGTTTTGTTTCATAGATAAACTTATAATTATGTAGGTAGTTAACTACTACTCGAAATAGGTAAAATGCGGTATATTCTGTATTTCAAATTAATAAGAATTTAATGATATTTGAATTGACTTTATTACGTCATTAGAATATCTCCAGATAAATAAGCTATTGTATATATATTAGTAAATATAACACTCATGTTATCAGTCTATCTTTATTTCCTATTACTCTAAATCATGGACTCTCCGGTTGTAACAATTGACGATGGACAATTAAAAGGAACTCAAAAAACTAATCTAGATGGAGAAAACTTTCACGCATTTTTGGGAATACCATTTGGAAAACCACCTGTCGGGAGGATGAGATTTAAGGTAAATATTATATCATCATTTTGTTTGAGAAAAGAATATGTTTGAATTGTTTTTACATATTTCTGAAAATAACTACACGTAACTTTTTTCGGCACGTATAAGTTAGAAATATATACCGGGTCGCAATGAAACCGATGCAAATTTATTATTTCTTTTATTTATGAAGCGATTGGGATAAAGTTTCATATATTTCTTAAAAATTAAATTGATTTATTTACTTTAAATAATGAAAAAAAGTTTTTATTTTTATTTTATAAAAGGTTATAAATCTATAAAGGTCCATCTATAAATTGACACATTTTAACAACTTATAACTCTAGAATTAAAAAAGATGCAGTTTTCACTAGACCTTCTACATTTACTTCAAGTTTTTCTTGACATTGTTGCCACATGTAATTTTTTTCTGGAAAGTGCCGGAAAAAAACGAACTTTTTTGAACCAAAATTTTAAGCTTATTTTAAATAGAACACCCTATAATTTTTAACATCCTCGGAAAGACCATTTTTTCCCTTTCCAAAAATGTATACATTGTAAGCATTTACTTTATTTTTTAGGGAAACATTCACTTTTTTATGCAACCATGTCAATAACTTCCAAACGTAAAGTATAAACACCCTATAATTTTTAACATCCTCGAAAAGACCATTTCTTCCCCTTTCCAAAAATGTATACATTGTAAGCATTTACTTTATTTTTTAGGGAAACATTCACTTTTTTATGCAACCATGTCAATAACTTCCAAACGTAAAGTATCACTTATAATTTGGGAGTAAGGCAAATGTATTGATAAAAGGTTTTCACCAAAATTCTTGGAAATGTTTAAATTTTTTTCTGACAGTTGCCAAATCTTAAACTTTTAAAGTTTTCGTAAAAAAAAATTAAATTCAGATTAAGGTCTTATGGCGAATGAAACATTTCGTATCTCTCATAGTCATTAGATAGTTTATTTCTTCGCCTTTTAAAAAAAGTCAATTTTTTATAATTTTTTTATTGCTTTAATAGGTTTTAATTTTAGGTAATTAAATCAATGTTAACGGTGTCTATTACATTTTGGTGGCACCTATCGAAATATAAATTGACGTTTTACATCGAACGATCATTGATAAGATACTGTTTTTCATTGCCTTGTCCCTTAGGTATAAATTTCAGAATAATATCAAGTAATGATATTTTACTTATAAAGACAGAGGGGAGCACCTCATACCACACGGATTTTTGTGGCGTAAGTGGTGTCCCACTATGTTGGTACCTATCTGAATTTTTATTGAACACAAAAAATATGTACTATAACATTAATAAATTAATTGTTGAATACGGCCTCCATTTTGTTTAATACATCTATGCAGACGCATTAAAAAATTTGTAAATACATTTTGCAGCATTTCTGGGGTAATTGTATTAAAGACATGAATTATATTATTCCTCAGTTCAGTTAAGTTTATAGGTGTTGGATCGTAGCATCTTTCCTTAACATACCCCCATGTAAAAAAATCTGGTATAGTTAAATCCGGAGAATATGGAGCCCATTCGATGGGACCAGCCCGACCTATCCATTTATCTCCAAAGGTTGAGTTCAAAGAATTCCTGGCTACAAGAGAGTAATGCGGTGGAGCACCATCTTGCTGGAAATATACAGTATTTAGTATTTCTTCTTGTTCTAGTTGAGGATAAAAGAATAGTTCTAGCATATCCGTGTAATTGTTTCCATATACTGTTTCCTCTTGAAAGAAAAATGGTCTATAAATTTTGGTTTTGGACACACCACACCATACATTTACCTTGGGAGCATCTCTTTCAAACTCGTTGAAAGCTCTAGGATTTTCGTCACCCCAAATCCTACAATTGTGTTTGTTTACGCGTCCACTAAAATGAAACGTTGCTTCATCTGACATTATTAGATTTACATTTGGTTGATGTCTAAATAAATCTAATAACGTCTCACACATAAAAAATCTCTTTTCAAATGCATGATTTTCAATTTTATGAAAAGTCTGAACCTTATATGCTTTAAACTTGATTACTTTTAAAATTTTATGCACCTTACTCTTTGACATATGTATGGATTGGGCAATTTTTCTAATAGATATTTTATTATTGTTTCTTGCTAAAATTTCCCTTATCTGTATAACATCATTTAAAATAATATCTTGAGCGTTTTCAATTTGTCTTTTTTTTCTATCTAATGTTCCCGTTTCTTTAAACTGACTTACCTAGTTTAAAATAGAATTTCTGGTTGGCGAATTTTTTTCAATCATATTTCTAAATCTTCTTTGTGTATATGTTCTTGATCTACTTTCAATATAAAGTAAAACGCACCGGGCTTTTTCACTTTTGGTAAACATTTTTTAATACCTGCTTTCTCTTGCACTAATTAATATAAATATAGACTTCTGTCAACTCGATTTGTTTTACATAGCACCCTTGATAAATTAGTAGTATCATTTATTGACTCATTCATATTCTATCCAAAGCTGAGTAAGTTAATTTACAAAAAGAGGAATATTAAATAGACAAAAAAAAACAGATATAGGTACATATTGAAAACGCTTAAGACATTCTTTTAAATGATGATTTATGGATAAAGGCTTGCAAATAAACGTTACAAATACGAAGAATTTTATTCATAATAAGCCCTTAATCTGAATTGGTAAAAGTAATCTTTTACAAAAATTTTAGACATTTGAGACTTTACAACCATTTAATAAAAAAATTAAACATTTCCGAGAATTTTAGTCAAAACCTCTTATCAATAAATTGTCACATTATCGAGTTAAAGGCTTTTAAATTGTGATACTTTACGGTTAGAAGTTATCGACATGGTTTCATAAAAAAGTAAATTTTTCCCAAAAAAATTGAATAAATACTTATAATGAATACATTTTTGGAAAGGGAAAGAAATGGTCTTTCCGAGGATGTTAAAAATTATAGGGTGTTCTATTTAAAATAAGCTCACAATTTTGATTCAAAAAAGTTCATTTTTTTTTCGGCACTTTCCAGAAAAAAATTACATGTGACAACAATGTCAAGAAAAACTTGAAGTAAATGTAAAAGATCTAGTGAAAACTGCATCTCGATATCTTTTTCCGTTTTCGAGTTATAAGTTGTTAAAATGTATTTTAAGGTGGATATATAATTAAAATTAAATTTTTTCCTTTTTTCAATTCTTTCATGTTTAATGATAAATGTAAATCTTTTTCCTCTTATTGTATGTAGTTTTCTTCCAATTTAAATAAACTTCTCTTTTTTATGGCTGAAAAAGTTTTATATGTATCAAATATCTTTGCTATATTGTCAATATTAGTAATTTCTTTAATTTTATAATTTTGGTATATCTTTAATGTCCTTTAATAAAAAATTCTGAATAACTAAATTTATTTAACAACAGAACGTACAAAATTAACGGGTTTTTTATGTTACTGTTATTGTTATAAAATATTTTGTTACATTACTTAGCGCCAGTAAAATAAGGAAATGACTAATATATTTTTTTCTTAACTTCTTTTCTCAATAGTTTATAATCATCGAAAGACATAAGCCACTTAATCCTACTTTTGTTGATAGGGACATATTCACAATTATTGTATTTTCTTTCTGTCCTTTTATCTCTCTCTCTCTATATTTTTCTCTCCTTACAATCCTCACCCTCCCCACTCTCCTGTGTTTGCTACTTCTTTTCTCTATTCTTAACTATTGTCCTGAATATTTTTAGAAAAATTTTTAAGTAAAACTGTATAGCAGATGACATTTGCATTTTCTCATGTAAATGTACGTTCTCTAATAACACATATTAATGATTTCAAAAACTATGTTGCTAATACGGACAGCGATGTCGTAGGGGTAACCTAAACTTGGTTGCATAGCGGAATTAGAAATGAATTCCTATACATTAATTAGACAGGATCGCCTATAAGGGGCGGTGGCCTGGGTATTTATGGGTTAAAATTATATTTAAAAACTTATTAATTGCAGTAGGAACTGTTTATCGTCAGCCAAAGTGTAGAAATCTCGATTTTTTAAATAAAATAGAAACTATGTTCGAAGATATTTATTCTAATTTTGATCATGTAATTTCTGTTGGCGACTTTAATGTTAATATACTAAATGTACGTGATAATCTAACGCTTAATTTCAATAACATTTTAATTTAATTCAGTTGATTAAACAACCAACAAGGAATCTCTCATTGCTTGATTCATTTATTACTAATTTTGATATAAAATATTACACGGACTTAGTTCATTTAAATTTAGTTGCTGACCACGCAGGCATAAGTTGCATAATTAAGTTTAAAATTCAAGTCACATGCAACCCTAAAAAGATATTTTGTATTTTTAAGGTGAAGGGGGAGAAAAAGTCCTTTATATCTCACAAGGAAAGTCAATGTTTAATTATTTAACAAAACATTGAGTGCGACCGGTTTAGAAGTGTCATCACTTCATCTTCAGGATCGCCATACTCTCCATCCACTAGGGAATACTACAAAACAAGTTTCATCAAATGTGGGGTGAAATAAATTGTAAAATGAACAAAGTTTACAAGTAATAAAAAGTTAAAAATATTTGAAAAACAAATATTAGTCAATTGAAATAGTAAAATTTAAAATATTCAAGACTATACAAAACAAATCACATACATTAAACAGATTAAAAGATTTACCTCAACTCACACATGGCTACCCCCCTTGTCAAAGATATTTTGTAGGTCACTCAATAATATAAATTACAATAACTTTCAATATGACTTAAGTATGATGCGCTGGAATGAAATTTATGATACTAATGGGATTGACAAAAAAATTGAACTTTTAAACAATAATATCATTACGGTTCTGAATGTACATGCCCCACTGAGGTCACGATAATAAAAAAAATCTACAAGATACGCTCCGTGAATTACAGACAATATTAAACTTTTACAAAACGTTCGTGATAAAGTCCTACGAAAATTTAGAAGAACATAGTCTCCCCAACATTGGTCTTGCTATAAACAGCTTAAAAATT